TCGACATCTCGTGGGTATACCAATACATAAATACTCAACTCTCTAACCCCCAGCGTGAACGCAAAGAATGCCTCGCGACATTTCTATCATGGTTTGCTCCACTATCCGCCTGGAATGGAAAGCTGAGAAAGTCTGCAAAGGCAACCGGTATGTCTTTCAAGAGGTTAAAAGGTCAAGGAGGACCTAACCCTTTCTTTAATCCCCACACCATTTATTTCTTCCACCGTCCTGTTCAGATCAACGGCAAAACCAGCAAGATTCATGCTCTACCAACACTCATCCATCACAAAGACTTCCAACGAGGTTTACGACCAGATTTCAACATCAACGACATCAAACATTACGAAGAGTTCCAGACTCACGCTTTTCAACTCAATAACGCTAGGCAAAACTTTGCCATTCCGTTTACCCCAAATTGGCTTTACTATCCGATCGACTATCAAATGAGCCTCGACGAAGATCTCATGTTCTACGGTGAAAGACGACGACTTGCCTCTTACGAAACAAAACCGATGAAGCAAGAACCTCCAGAACTACAAACTCAAGAATGCCCGCCGGAATATTTTCAAGACGCGCAGCTACCTGATGACTCTATGAATATAGATGAAATCGGCAAGATGATCGACATTGATGTTAACGACGATTCTCAGAAAAATTATGAAGAGCCAGAAGACGAATACATATGCCCAGACGATCACTACGGATGCTGCGAAAAACACATCATCGAGTTCGAGATAGACCACTAAAAGGTCATTAAGTTAAGCATAAATATGTTTAAATAAATTGTCAAAATTATGTGTGTTTTATTATGTAAAATAATTATGTACAATAATGATGTAAGCATGATGTAAGCGATGATGTAATCGCAGTGGCTGAGGTAAGCGCTTATGTCAGCGCCTTATCCTCTCCCCTATAAATATGTGTGTACCCCCTTGTATAATATCATCAAATAATTTCCATAAAAACCTCTCTCTTGTTTATCTCTCTACAATGTCTTTCTAAGTTCTCCCTAGTTTTCCAGAACTTAACTCATCTCTTATGAGCTTAGATTTCTATTCTCCTCTCGCAAGTTCCGATCATACCTCTTGCAATTTCTTAGCTTGAACGGATTTGTCAACACGACTCTGTCAACACGACTTTCGTGGGGAGGCAATTTCCTAACAGTGGGTTGAGCAAATCGTTAGTGACAATATCGCTCCCTTTACCTGGAAATTGCAGACCCTCGCCTGTCAACACGACTTTGTCAGCAATTTCCAGGTAAAGGGAGCGATATTGTCACTAACGATTTGCTCAACCCACTGTTAGGAAATTGCCTCCCCACGAAAGTCGTGTTGACAGAGTCGTGTTGACAAATCCGTTCAAGCTAAGAAATTGCAAGAGGTATGATCGGAACTTGCGAGAGGAGAATAGAAATCTAAGCTCATAAGAGATGAGTTAAGTTCTGGAAAACTAGGGAGAACTTAGAAAGACATTGTAGAGAGATAAACAAGAGAGAGGTTTTTATGGAAATTATTTGATGATATTATACAAGGGGGTACACACATATTTATAGGGGAGAGGATAAGGCGCTGACATAAGCGCTTACCTCAGCCACTGCGATTACATCATCGCTTACATCATGCTTACATCATTATTGTACATAATTATTTTACATAATAAAACACACATAATTTTGACAATTTATTTAAACATATTTATGCTTAACTTAATGACCTTTTAGTGGTCTATCTCGAACTCGATGATGTGTTTTTCGCAGCATCCGTAGTGATCGTCTGGGCATATGTATTCGTCTTCTGGCTCTTCATAATTTTTCTGAGAATCGTCGTTAACATCAATGTCGAACATCTTGCCGATTTCATCTATATTCATAGAGTCATCAGGTAGCTGCGCGTCTTGAAAATATTCCGGCGGGCATTCTTGAGTTTGTGGTTCTGGAGGTTCTTGCTTCATCGGTTTTGTTTCGTAAGAGGCAAGTCGTCGTCTTTCACCGTAGAACATGAGATCTTCGTCGAGGCTCATTTGATAGTCGATCGGATAGTAAAGCCAATTTGGGGTAAACGGAATGGCAAAGTTTTGCCTAGCGTTATTGAGTCGAAAAGCGTGAGTCTGGAACTCTTCGTAATGTTTGATGTCGTTGATGTTGAAATCTGGTCGTAAACCTCGTTGGAAGTCTTTGTGATGGATGAGTGTTGGTAGAGCATGAATCTTGCTGGTTTTGCCGTTGATCTGAACAGGACGGTGGAACAAGTAAATGGTGTGGGGATTAAAGAAAGGGTTAGGTCCTCCTTGACCTTTTAACCTCTTGAAAGACATACCGGTTGCCTTTGCAGACTTTCTCAGCTTTCCATTCCAGGCGGATAGTGGAGCAAACCATGATAGAAATGTCGCGAGGCATTCTTTGCGTTCACGCTGGGGGTTAGAGAGTTGAGTATTTATGTATTGGTATACCCACGAGATGTCGANAGCAGAGGTACCAGAGGAAACATAGGACTTCTTCTGGCATGTAGACGGTTTCGATCCTGTAGAGGTGTGCGAACGGGTAATCAGGATGAATTCCCATTGGTGAGATGTAGTGATTTTCTGGACCGTATTTTGTCAGGATGATGGATTGGTAGCGAAAGATCTTGTTGAGAAGGTGTTCATGGAAGGTTTTTCTGGTGATGAGTTCATGAGCGTCTTCTGGCATGTTTGCTGTGAAGTCAAAGAAGCTTTTTTCTGAGGAGCTCTCCATAATTTGTATTTCTTTAATTGGGTTTCTACTGAGCATATCAGCAAGAGTGTTCTTTGATCCCTTTAAATAGACGGACTCGAAATCGTACTTCGAGAACCATTCGCTCCATCGTAATAATTGTTGATGTGGGACCATCTTTTGCTTGAATTGTAACATCTTCGGAAAAGATGACATATCCATCTCGATGCGAAATTTATGTCCTATCAGATGGAACTCGAACTTCTCAATGGCTTTCTTGACTGCTAAGATTTCTTTGAACGTGGAGTGATAATGCATCTCCGAATCTTTAAAGCGTCCACTCTTGTATCCGCAGATTTGACGTTTTCCGTTTATTTCTTCAAATAAGATTGCTCCCCAATATTTGTCACTTGCGTCAGTCTGTAAGATACGCGTGCCTGTTGAGGGAATCTTTAAAGGTGGTAGCTTCTGTACCTCTATTTTTAGGTTTCTGACAGCTTCGGTTTGTCGATTAGTCCATTGTGGTGGATTCTTTGTCAGCATCTTCTGTAGCGGCCTTGTCAACTGCGAAAGTTGCGGAATAAAGTCGCTGACGTAATTGATTACGCCAAGAAATTGCTGGATTTGTCGTTTTGTGAGATTTTCGTCGGGAAAATCGAGGAGTGTTGTAGCTAGATGGGCTTGTGGTGAGAAAATTCCATTTTCGATTTGCATCCCAAGAAATTCAATGTTGGGCTGGGCTATGACCATCTTTCGGGCCGAGAGCATAATCCCATATTGTAGTACTATGCTCTGGAACTGTTGAAGAAGTTGGACGTGTTCCTTTTCGTTTGACGAGAATAGAAGTATATCATCTATATATATCAAGGCCGTGTGGAGGATGGGCTTGAATATACGAAGCATTGCCTGCTGGAACAGTGAAGGTGCTGTCTTGAGCCCAAAAGGTAGGACATTCCATTGAAGGTGTCTGTCTGGTAGACAAAATGCAGTTTTGTATCTTTCTTCGGGGTGAACTCCAAGTTGCCAAAATCCAGATTTGAGGTCGAATTTCGAGAAAATTGTTGCTCCTTGAAGGTGTTGAAGAAGCGCTTTTTTATTTGGCAGTGGAAATTTGACGTCTTGTAGATATTGATTTAGCGGCTTGTAATCAATTACTAATCTGAGTTTTCCTCTTGCTTGTTCTGCACGGTTGTTGACATAGAATGCTTTACACGCCCATGGAGAGTTTGTTGATGAAACGACTCCCTGTTCCACTAGCTGATCACATTCTTCATTAGCTTGTTTTAGCAAGGTGGGTGGCATTCCTGCATGGCTTGCCTTTGTTGGTGTTGTGTCAACGTTTTCTTTGAATGNAGAGGGAATTCCATTTTAATCCATTTGGTTCGATGGAGATATTATAGGCCTTCTTGAAAGCGTAATAAGCATCCCATCCCAATATGAGATCTTTCTTTGGCGTTGTAGACCCCAGTACTGCTATAGAGATTCGACATCCAGGGAAGAGCTCGATAATGATCGGTTTTGACTTGAGCTTGATGGTCAACGATCCAGCATTAGCAACACGAAATTCTTGTTGGTGAGGTAGCCACATTGAAGGTGACAGAATCTTGGGATTCACGATTGTTTTATACGCCCCAGTATCGATGAATGCAATAACGCGGACAGGATCTTCTTTCTTGGATGGGTCAAAGATTGTTGCTTGTACATGAGGAGGTTGTAAATCTTCTAGTTCTTCTTCTTTTGGTATTTCCGCGATTTTGAAACAGCAGTCTTCATCTTCGTCATGGGAAGACTCAGAAGAATAATCTTCTTCTGAATATCCGCAAATTGCATCATTGTCGTCACTATCATAGGACAGAACTGACTCCAAGTCGTGACTGTTGAGGTCAATATCTGGTGCGATCTCGGCTATCGAATTAATTAGATATTGCTTCTTCTTCTTTGATTTGTTTGGACAATTTTTTGCAAAATGTCCTTCTTTACGACATAGGAAACATTTTGACGCCTTGTTGAAACTTCGTTTCTTTCGGAAGAATTTCTTGCGTCTGAACCTTGAAGAGTGCTTAGAGAACCGTTGTTTGAATCTCCTGCGTTTCTCATGCGAATTGCAAGAACAAGTCTTCTTGGATTTTGAGCATTTGATAGAGAGATCTGGTCTGGCACAGATTTTAGATAGTTGTTTCGATCTATCCATGAATTCCATCCAGAATTCCTTTTGCTTGCAGAGTTTGTCGAGTGTTCTGAAGACGTATTGCTGGATTTGACCGATAGAAATGTCTTCGATTGTTTGTCCTTGATCTCTAATGTATAGCTTGGTTTGTTGACTAAGATAGTCATCAATGGAAGAGAGGTAGACATGCTTCAAACTAGGATTGTTGAGGCCGTTGAGAGCATAATATCTTTTTGTCTGTCTCTCAAAATGTTTTGCGAGATCCTTCTTTTTCAGAGAACAACATTTTGCCGAGAAGAATTCTTCTTGTAGTTGCTCCTTTTGGTGGGTTGGCGTACCAATAAATTCTCTGTGAATTTCCCCAAGAAGTAACGGTATAGTTGTCTGATAAACCTGTTGTTGTCTGTATTCACCGAGTGAATTCCACCATTCTTTCAGTGCTCCTGACAGTCGTGCCGTGAATTGTTGTATGACCAAGTGTAGAGGAGATGTAAGGGCTTCTGAGTTCATCCATGCATGAAATTCGTCTAGACGATCATTCCATTTTTCAAAAGGAATATCATCGAAGGTGAATACCATGACTTTTGAAGCGAAGTGCTTTGTTGTCGGTATTTCTGTCTTAGGCGGCGGCACGAATTCCATATCTTCATCACTTGAAAAGACCTCGTTGATACTTGGTTCTTTTTTCGGAGTGTGCGAGCTTTCTCCAATTGCGAATTGTCTTGGCAGAGATTCTTCGTAGGAGTCGATCTCATAATCACTCGAGCTTGTATCAGAAATATGCTCAATTCTTGCTATAGGTTTTGCTGACGAGGACTTTTGGATTTTTGATGATTGATCAGATATCTCAGTGTCTTTTCCAAGAGTGTTGAGTAGACTGGTCATCGAAA